GATTCCTTCACGTCACAAGCTTCTAACCACTTATTTCTAATAAACGAGAAAATTTTAAACATCTCACTCCGGAATCCTGGCACAAATTTATAAGATTCCCACAGCTTTCAAACGTGCAATTCATTTTTTATTTTATTAAAATGACTGATTTTTCGTTTTAAAATCTGTTGTTTGAAATTTTTTCAAAAGCAGTTGAAAAATTATTTTTTTTTTTGTAGCTGGTAGCTTGATTTTGATAGAGATGTCATAATGCCAGCAAAAGTCAAATGGCGACCAAAATCGTTAAGTGAAATTACCTTCTTTTTTATATCATGGTGCGGCCGACTTCGGGCTAGTGGTGCACAATTTTTAAGGCAGGTATCGCCAATGTGCAGGTATGTTGAATGCATCTATCGGAGGAGTTTCCTTATAAATGTTAAGAATAAAGCCGCTAATGCGCATTTTAGGGTAGGTATCTTAAATGTGCACTTAAGCATAAAGGCAGCAAAGCAAAATATACTGTACATATGTATATGAAATACTCATATATTAAAAACTCTTTAATTCGGTGGATTGAAGGTAAGATAACTTGGCAGCATAAATTTGGTGCCAAGCCTCCTTCATTTTGTGTACCAGTCCTAAATTCCAATTTCCTTGAAACTTAATAGATTTTCTAATGCAATGCGATATCAATCAATTGAGTAAAAATCTAATGTCGATTCTCGTATTTTTTTTGATCGATTCACGGAGAATCGAAATTAAAAAGCAAATATTACTCGCTCAAAGTGGCTCTCAACAGCCCGAGAGCCAACTAAAAAACACAAATTGGGCATCTTCGGGCAACTGCGGGCGAGCAAAAGAACAGAGTCATTGTGCGTCCCGGTTTCAAGAATGCAAAAGTTTGCAACCCTAGTATGTTCATTAGAGTGGTCCACAAATTCCTTTTTTTCAATATTATTCAGTGCTCACGCAAATTTGTGTTCCTTTTGTTAAAAAATGAAAGTACATAACTTGATTTAAAAAAAATATTAAAATTTAGAGGTCGCTCAAGTCGATTTTTGTATTGCTTAAAATTACTCGTCCTTCAATCCGAGCGCACCCGAAATTCCTCTGGAAATTTAAGTTTTCTAAGATCTTATAATGTGCTTTCGAGGCCACTGAATACACTAGGAGAGTTATTTTTTCGATCCGGCTCTTACCTTTTTAGATAATACGAATAAATAATAAAAAAAGGGGAAAAAACCCAAAATTGAACTTTAAAATGTGATTACTTCTTAGGAAAAATTTCCACACACAACCTTAGCGCATAAAATGAGTCATTGCAGAGGATTTTACGTTCATTTCTTCTCGAGATATCGGCATATTATTGAACCTGAATCTAGATGCGTGGCTGATGCCTGTATTTAAAAAACGTACCGCTTTAAATTTTCGGCCTTTGGAAATTTTTTCGAGGTGTTATCTGATATTTTCAAGGCCGCTGAGTGTGCTGAACTAGTTTGTTTTCGCTACGTCCCAAATGTCGAGAGACAACGTAAAAAAAAAACGTAAAAATATGAAAAATTAAAAATTTTCTCGATTACAGGAGAGGATAAAACAATTTTTTTTTTAATTATTCAGGGTCACGAAAATTTGTGTTCCTTTGACCTAACATGAAAAAAATTAAGATGACGCTGGTAGATATTATTAAATTAGTTTATATTTTATTTTCCAATGTTAAAACAAATTCCAAGAAACCTTAAATTATGGGATGTTGTTGTCTATGGTTTTCAACAACTTGTAGCAAACACTGTTTCTGATTTTCGTCATTTGTGAGAATGGAATTGAATTTCTGAATCAAAGACACGCCTCTCTCCGCCACATCATTAACGACCTTCAAATTTTGCAATCTTTGTCGAGACGATATGAATGTTTTATCTTCTTCCCAGTGTATGGGATCTCTGTTTATAAAATCCAGTGAAATGTTATTCGCAGTAAAGATTTTTGTACTCTCTTCAGATATAAAATCTGACAACCTTAAGTCTAAGATCTTATTTTTGTCGACAGAAATACGTTTTAAAACTTTGTTGCTGGAATCTTTCTGCAAAGCTAATACCATTAGTTTCTTCTCTTCGATTGACACACGGAAATCGAAAAGTGCCAAGCCTACTAGTGACTCGTTCAAGTACCACAAATGTCTGGAAAAGCATTTATAAGTTACTTCTGAAATCTTAGGATGCACGCAATTGTACTCGACAAGTTCTTTTAAAAGTTCAAGATCATTTAATGCAGCATAAGTTGGAGACTGAGAACTATACCATTTCTTCAAATATACTTTAACTATAAAAATGCTGAACTGTTGAAGGCCATTTAGTTCCTTTGCTGTTAGTTTCAATTGGCTCCGAAAAATGTATATTTTCATGCAATAAATTAACTTAGCCATCCATCTAGCTCTGTGACAAGCTCCAGGTGCATAGATTCTTATGTTTTTTCTGAATTTGAATCGAGAAATACCAGAGTCAGTTGAAGTAATTCTCTATAATCACTTCGGGGTTGAAATGTCGATAATTGCTCCTTAATAAAATTAATAAAATTTCCTCGAATTGGATAAATGAACTTAGATACTTTTTCATCTATCATAGCACTTTCATGTTTCGTTTGATCAATAGTATTCCAGACCACTTGAAATCGTTTGAACAATGGAATATCTGGTCCACTTGAAGGCCCAAATAGAAAGTCAAAAGCAGCTTTCACAATGAGCTCATGAATGTGATGTCTACACGCACAAGCAAAAAGTGGTTTTCCTAATTTTTTTTTCCAGCAGCGTACATGCTCCAGATGAAAAACCAGTGTTACTGGAAGTAGTATCAAAACACATAGATGTTACCCACTCTGTGAGATTCCAATCAACTATTACATTATATACCGCAGCAGCTTGAGCTTCTCCTGTTCCCGCAAGTATTTTGGGTACTCCCAAGAGTTTTTCAATACCTTCTCCTGTGACCAAATTGGCTAGTCGATCAACCTTTTGCTTTGAGTTCGTATCAAGCAATAGT